CAATTCAGTCACAAGAAAGTGTAATAAAAAGATTTTTAAAATTGGCATAGGTTAATCTATATATATAATAATTTTTCAAAATTAGGGATAAAAAATTCCCAACAAAATCTATTGAGGTTATATCTACTTAGTAAAAAGACAGTCCATGCAGCTGTGTGTGAGGCCAGCGCAAAGTCCTCTGAAACCTCGCGTGGCTTAAAAGGTTTTCTCGATCCTCGGATCTTCTATATAGTGATCGTTAATCAAATGTCTTTCGACTTCACGGATTACTCTGCGCTCTACGTGCTCGCGGTGTCATATTAAAGGCAGTTTATAAATCTTTTATTTTTATAGAAGTTTATCTATTATTGCAGCTTGGTAAATTCAAATGAGTAAAAGACTGCTCAGGCTCCGTGATTACAAGCCTATACTCACTTCGCCTTCGGCTCAGTGAATATAGGCTTGTAATGACCTCGCCTTCGCAATCAAACTTTGTATTAAGATATTAAATCTACAATCTGCAGCCCAGTAGATTTCTTTGGTATTGATCACGACCGACTTGCCACCATGTTTGTGTTTGGAGCTGCTACGGAATCAATCATTACGCTTGTCATAAAGTTTGGAATTTCAGGTTCAAACGCTTGGGAAAAAGGTAAAAATCATCCATACTAACATCTAAAATAACATCAGAGTCGTACTGTAAAGAACGTTTCGCTGGATCAAGGCAATTTGCTACAGTCGAATTCTCACAATTGAAAGGAAAATCGGGCGAAATTTTTTTTGATGGAGAAATGCTGCCTAATGAAAAAATGAAAAACCTTTTTATTCTCCCAATTTTTAATTTTTCTTTTTTATGAGGTATTTTAACAGGTATTTCTAACAGTTCTTCAATTCCAAAAGTATCATTTAAGTAATTGTACCCGTTTTTCTTTGTAAATTACATCCAGCGTTCCTTTTCTTTGCCATTGCAATTGAATACGCTGTCATTTATTATCCCTACTTTGCTTGCCTGACGACGTATCACAAAGTAATTGGAGCAATGATGGGTCTTCCATATTGTATAGTCAAGTAAGTGTGCTCATAATTATTGAGGTTTCCGTGCAACTTAAACAAAAGAAAACTGATTTGAAATTCCCGATTTGAAGTCATGTCCGGTAACCTTAAAAGGGCTAAAAGCCATCAAGACAAAATTTTTCAATAACAAAAGTTTTTTAAAATACCTTTATATTCAAAATCCGTAACCATGATACAAGCACTTTAACCTGGAAACAGACCTGCACGGCAAAAATTGATTATAGTTTGTCGCATCAGGAGTGAACAATATTGTGCAGTGCTCCATGAACAATTTGCATCTTGACATAAACTATTGTTAACAATGATGTGCCCGTGTTGCAGTCCAACATAGTTCACTCCTGTTTTAAGCAATTGCAAGGGAATGAACTCTATAAGGTGTGGGAAGACGCGACTCCTCCAGTTTTTTAAAGTTGCGTGCGGGGGGATTTCTAATTATCCCCCATGAAAAGACGATTTAGACCTTCCCTATTTCAAAACGTTATCACGTTAATTGAAACAAAATCTCTTTGTTTTTGATTAAGTAAGTTTAATTCACGACAAAAGTTACATTTGCGCCCCACAAACCTTTGGCTTTTACGTCGTCTCCAACATTTTTCCCTTGGGCGGTGGTGGCTTTTATAGATGGTTTTGGAAATGCTGGTTATAAACCGACACACATTATAGATCAACAAACAGTAACAAAATTATTGAAAACACGAAACTCAGAAAACAACATTACCTCAGTGTGCAATTAACCAATTAACTTTTGTTTGTTTTTGCTACAGTTTTTGTGTAACTTTCACACAAATGTTTCAGAAATGTAACGTAAGTTTGATTTAACAATTTTTGTCTAATGTTAAACCTTTGAGGAGCGCTAGCATGTAAAAATATCGGTGCATAAAGATTTGCCGATCTTTATTTTTCCCGTTAGTGAACGTAAAGGTACGAATATATAATTTCATTTTTGAATTCTTATAGAATTATTCTTCAACCACCATCGCAATAGTCGTGTTGGGCAATTTGCCAGTAGTGATAAGCAATCTGTTTATCCTGGGCAAGTTCATATTCGTATTTTATCGGGAAATTAAAGAATATGGAATCTTCAGAGTAAAGTTATTTCCCCGCGATGTAAGTATTTTTGTGATGCAATTATACTTCGTTTACATGATACGAGTAAAAGAACGGTACGAAATTACGTTTTGGGGCTGCGTTCAGGGGCGTTGCGAACGGACTGGGATTGAGAGGGGCACTGTAGTCAAATTAGTGTAGAAAATTGTTCAACATTGGTCGAGGGATATTTACGAGGCAGCACCATAGTTGGTGCCGAGTGAGAATTTTTTTCAAATTCTGCATGAGCCTCAGATAATTGGAAACAGCCTATTTTGAGTACGACTAACCTTAAATATTCGTAAATACTATTAGAGGGGGTTTCACACCCCCGGACACTTAGCCATTATTCTATAAAAGCTCGCTCACATTGAAACTCATCGAGCGAGAGATCTGCTCAGTTTCCACAGCTGTATTTTCACACGAATAACTAATGTTCGTCTAGGATGAAAGTTCGTCTACACAAGTGAAATTGCTCAGACCTTGGTTGAAGGAACACGTGAAAAACATTTTTAAACCAAAGTATGATCATGTGTAATACCATTGCGCCAAAAGAAGTTAAGAAGTAGCTGTGTGCGCACAAAACGAACATGGTTGTCGGCTAATTATATTTTGACATAGAGAAAACTTGCATCAAGTGTGATACAGTGATAGCGCATGTTATTGGTTAAAAAGAGCTTCTGAACCGGTTTTAACAGCTAGGTTTTGCAAACTAATTTCTGTTGTTCGGGATGAGAAGATAAATTGAGCGAAAATTGCCGATTTAAAATTTTCATTGAAAAGTTAAATAACGCAGGTGTTTAGGTCTTCAAACAAAAACCACAAACACAAGAGTGCCCAGCTCTACTCTTCCAGATGCAGTAAATTTCAGCAACTTTTGTTCTATAGCAAATTTTCATTCATTACTCAAGTAGCAACCTGTCAATTTCTGTCTACGCCATGACTGAATCATGTTTATGCGGCCAAGGGCTGCTAAAAGCAACTTTGACTTTGTTCCGTGATGTTTTCTTTAAGACTGTTTTGTTAGAGCTTCCAAGAATTACCAGTAAATTACTCTCGCTCTCTCAAATAAATTAAGCCTTACCTTTTTTCATTTCTTTCTTGAAGGCGTGTTTTTCTTTTTCTTAAAATCTGGTTTTAACTGCATGTGTGACGTCCGATTAGTAAAGATTCTAATCTAATAATTTTCCTGTTTTTCTAGACCTCCTCGTCAACATTCAAGAATGCAGTTTTTTCTGAGGAAAGTTTACAATCCCAAGAAAGGTATATGACCTTGTTTGATAATTGGATGATTTATACGATCAAACACTATTGCCCGTATTCAAAGAGCACATTCACACTAATTAGCTTTTCTAACGCTGACGAATGTTCCGCCATTTTTGGGGTACTTTTTTTTAGATTGTGTGCGCAAGACCTTGTCTGGGCGGTGGTCTTTAGTTTTAGGCTTAATTTACTGTTCAAATGGTCTATGGACTCTTAAAAAAATTTGTTACATGCTATTATTCTTTGAACGCATTTAAGAAAATTGAAAGTACCCCCAAAATGGCGGATATTCGTCATCGTGGGAAAGGTTAATTGAGTGTGGCACTGATCAATGCGATAGTCCCTTCTTAACTACTGGAAGGGTTTAGGGTAAAACATTGAAAATGAAGGTCTTAATTATGCGAGAAGAAATATCGTAAAAGAATCACTATGAAGTAATTGAGATCCTCCACTCAATGGGTTTGAGTGTGAGTGAGCTTTTACAAATTAGAATAAAATTAGGCGTAAGTCCCGCTAGGCATACGACAGACGGCGTTAGAACCTCGCTAGAATAACACTCATTTGTAATAAAAATTACCATGCATGCATATATACATACTCGACAAATCAACGATGAATAGTAAACTACAATAGAAACTCCGTAAATAGTAAATTTTTGAAATATAGTTTTCGATGTTTCGACTAAACTATAGTCATCTGCATGTAGCAAAAGAATGATTACGAAATAACATATGTATACATGCATGCATATAAGTACTCAGATAGCTATATATGTTTAGTTATAGTTTCGTTTGACATTTTTAGATTTTAAGTTTTCGACTGAAACTCTCTCTGTGGTGATGATCTGTGGAATTCTGCTTTATAATGTAAGCTTTGTATTTTTTATATTTCTTTACATTATATTTTATATATATGTAAAAATTATATGTGTAAAAATGTTTAATCCAATTAAATCGGGATATTTGCAACCCTTTTTGGTGGTTTAGATATCTACGGAGCAAAAACATTTTATAGGCTAGTTAATATAGAGAGTAATATTGCTATACTAATTCAATTTTCAAATATTTTATCCAAATCTCTCAGAAGTGCTAATTAAAGGTAGATTGCAGTCGGCAATGTAAACATACGCTGTGTCCACATATTGCATCTCTATATCTCTTAGAATACCCTGTCCTCGCAGAATATTTATTACCATTTTAGTTCACTACTTCACTATATTTCTAAATGAATAACAGATAGAGTTTATGCTCAAAGTATAACAGATAGAGTTTATGCTCAAAGTATAACAGATAGAGTTTATGCTTCTTATTGGGACGCCCAGTACATCCCGCTAGCACATACTTCTTTTTTTCTCTTTAAGCTTTGCATTCTTTGCATCTATTTGCCAAGTGGGCTATTGAGAAAAGTTGAGAAAACAAAACCTTGGAGGTCCTGGGGCGAAAAATATCTGGATTTGTTGCGTGGGATTTTTGGTTGGTGTTCTAGAGTTCTATACAGTCACTATAAATATTGAGTTGTAAGATATGAGAATACTAGAAAGCTGTTTTGAACATTTTTTTTCTAGGTGCATTATTGGCTAGTGCAATCCTTACGACTGTGATCTGTGCGCTCTCCCTCATTCTTTTCATGGAAAATCATAAGTATGAAGAAAAGAAGCGTAATCCATAGCTTTTGATATTCAGGGTGCTCCCAAAAAAGCAAGACCAATAAGCTAATGCCATACTAAGCAAGACCAATAAGCTAATGCTATAAGCTGAATCCACGAGTGTATAGAAGTCAATAATTTCTATACTGCATGAGTGATATAAACTTGGGCAAATCTTCACATCAGATATAAAACAAATTAAACCCATGGTGGCATATTCAAAATGCAATTCTTTTCAACATTATTTCGCGAAAATATTGTTTTACTTGAATCGTCGTAGATCTGTCCAGATATACATTTTTTACGTTTGTAAAACATGTATTTTCTACGATAGGTCACCGGAAAGAATCTTGTAATCGGAAAATAATTACGGGTTTTTTGGGACACCCTGTAGTGTTAGATTAGTTTTTTTATGATATTCCTTATAATTTGTTTCAGGAATAACATGCTGAGGATGTTCAGAGGGGATAAATCGTTCATCGCTAAGAACATAAGCGTGTCTCAGTTTATGGTTGTAAGTTGAGAAGTTAGCCTTTCTCACGATGACAAATATTGCCGCCATTTTTGGGGTACTTTTTTTCAAAACTGTAAGCGCAAGACCTCGTAACGGCTAAGATCTTTAATTTTTGGCTGAATTTATTCTTCAAATGGTCTGTTGATTCTAAAAAAAATTGCTTTTTATGTTATAACTTTTTAAACCCGTTTGAGAAAATTGAAAGTACCCCGAAACGTCATCGTGAGAAAGGCTAATTGCACTCCTAAGTTGCTTAAAAAATAAAGTATTGCTTATCCGAGCAGGGAAGTGAGCCTAAAGAATTCTCAGTAAAAGGTTATATTTGAAAATAAAGAAATTAATCAATGTTGGAAGCGTATTTATTATTTCTTTACGTGTAAACATTGCAGTTCAAACGACAAGTTTTGAGATTAATAATTAGAATTTAATGACGACGGGGGGGGATCCACTTTCTTTCGCTAGCATGCAAGCAATGAAATTCCGTTTTTCCATTTTTTCAGGGAAAAGGACTTCGATATCATAGTTTTCAGATTGGATACTTTTTGTGGGGTGAGTGTTAGTTGATTATGCATGATAGGTATATTATACCATCGAATTGATGGTTTAGATCAACCCCTAAATCGCTACATGTTAGGGTTAAATCTTTCTCTACAGTAAGGGCCATCTTAATGTATTGATATCGCTTCTTTTTCTTTGCAGGCTTTCTTTTAAATTGGATTTTCATATTTATCCCATGTGCTCTTTTATATTCCTTGAAATTTTCCTGGGTTCAGGATTGGATCCTCGGCTATATCAGCGGCGGCGGGTAGGTCAAATCAATTGTGTTTATTTACTCTTAAGATTTTTTCAATTACACATTCTTAGCAATGTTATTAGACAATGTGTTTAGGCATTGCTTATTTTGCCAAGTTCAATACTTCCTCTTTGTAAATATTGCTGGCATTTCCCTTGTACATTTTATGAACAGAAATGCTCAGACCTTTTGACTTTTATTTTCATACATTTTTTTGCATCTGAATCAACTAATCAAAATTGAAAATAGTGAATGTTAAATTTGAAAGTGGAAGTCAAGCCCGTACCGGTTCTGCGCATCGGTTCAGCTCATAAGTCATAACAATGTTTGGGCCTGTAGCATAAAACTTACCCATATTTCGCACGTATCGAATATTTTTGATAATAAGCGCTAATTTCATTTAAAAACGTAGCGAGCCTAAATAGTGTTAGATATTCAGACAGTACAGCGTTTTTTAAAACTATTGACAATTTAACCCTAAACAAACCGTTTGTTTACATACGAACTTGAATTCCATGCACTTTAATGCAAAAATTGTCGCCTTAAGTCTTAACAGTTTTTGTCTGACATTCTATTTAGCATACTCTTTGGCTTGGCTCTTTTCTTTCGGTTGTGCTGCATTGCAGCTTCTGTGACAATATTCCGGGATCGTAACTTCTCTAGAAACGTCATTTCCATAAACAACAGGTATGTCTTCATTGCGCTTTCTGAGGAGTTAGACCCTACACTGGTTGAGTCAGATTTCTATACCACGACGCCGTCATTTTTACCCTGGAAATATCGTATATTTTCATTCTTTCTGCAGGAATGTCTATTTGGTGTTTTCGTATTTTTGGTTTTTCGTGGGACTTCCGATGGGTGTCTTTTCTGCCATATTTCGTATCATAAAAACAATGATTGTGGGATTTCTGATGTTGCCCAGAATTGATCATAGCATCATGCCTGATGGTTTTCAACGGTTTGATCCAGGTAACGCAGAGGGACAGAAAGATGGGAAGAGGGAGAGAGAGGGTTTAAGTTATTTTTTTATATTTGGATTTTTTTAACATCTCACATGCCATAACATTAATATAGCATGATAAACATTGATGGTGAACGCTTATTTTTTTGGGCTTCCTATAACTAGAGAGTGCTCAATACTAGCTATATAGATAGAGATTAAGATATGCTGAAAGTGTTGTTTTACCAAAAATCGTCCACTACAGTCTGTTTCACGAAATGAAGCTGCTTATTTAGTTTTTGTCGAAACGTTGGTGGGCGTTCAAACAATGCATGCATTTCTAAGATTTTTTCGTATGACATATTAGCGTGAAACATTCTTTTGTGATTACATGAGGAAACTATTTTTGATTTTTTGTTTAACAAAAAGGCCTTATCCTTTATGTTTGGAAGAAAAACTCTGTATTTTAATTCTTTAAAAGGTTACAATGCGTACATCTGTTATCTTCACGTCCAAGCAGCTTTCAGGAACCCAGTTCTTCGAGTGTTTTGTCAAATACTGATCGATGATCACGAAACAAGTAAGTTCTACCACGTATCAGTCTTTACTGAAGCACTGAATATTGATATCAAACAAATATAGAAAACGTTGCTATATCATAAAACATGCATTAGCAAAGAAAAAAAGGCTAAAACCTATACACAAGTAATACAACTGTTAACGGTAGCTTGTACATGGTGGTTAACCATCTGCATAACAAAACCTGTGTATATAAAAATTAATTCAACCCTTTTTGCTTGAACTGTTCTCGCAATCGCTTACATTGGTGTAGTGTTCCTACTCAGTGAAGTACACAAAAGAATATATACCTATATATTTAAAACTTTATCTAAAGTACTTTCCAGAAATAACCTAACACTGCGGTTCGGTTGCGGACCGCAAGGGAAAAAATACGATCGCGGTTGCCGTTTGCTTCCGAACGGAATGTTATGAACAGCTGAGAACGACAATACAATAATCATATCGAAAACATCTTACATAAGAAATGTCTGTCAAACCGAGTTAGGCCGAGGTTAAATCTCCGTCTCACCGCGGTTCGCTCTCGGTCTGACCTCGGTTCAACCGCGATCAGACCAAGGTTTGACATAGGTTACCGCGGTTTTTGTTAGGTTATTTCTGGACAGTACTGTATATAGATCATTATATTATATGCAATACTAATATCCATAAAAGTTATTACCATGCATTAATTATACCAAAACCTAGATTATACGTCGCATTTTGTTCGCGTCAAATGCAATTCAAGCAATAGATATAATTAGATGATAATGAAGCTAAATGAGGTTTATCATCTCATTATCTATTATTTGAATTCCATGCGACGCGACCAAAAAGCGACATATAACCTAGGCCTGATTAACAATACATACCACTTATTAACCGAATTTGAGGTCGGTACTGGAAAAATGGCGAGGTTCAGATTTGACTACCTCTACGACTACCACAACCTTTGAGGGAATATAAACCAATCAAATGCGATAGGTCTATCAGACTAACCAATCACGAGCTTAATAGATTAGCGAGAGGTTGCGGTAGTGGTAGTGGTAGTCAAATCTGAACCTCGCTATTATCAGACCGAAGTCTGATATTTTTCCAGTACGGACCGAACGTATTCGGTTAATAGGGGATTTATAATATGGCATACAGTATTTAGTTTATTTATTTATACAATGCGCTGCAGCATTCTTGCCGGCTCTTTCGCCAGCCAGTCGCCAAGCAAGCACTGAAGTGGCTTCCAAAACTTTGTTTTTTACTCGTTAAATAAGAATGATACAGTGATATAAACAAAAATTAAAGATGAATAAATATAATATTCACATTTACCAAATAATGCTCTTCTTCGTCCATTCTCCGTCGATATTTTTCTTGTCAAAAATAAAAGTGCAAGCTTGTTTTTGTTCAGAAATATGAGAGTTGGACCGTTACTACGGCAACGGTTTAATACTGGGGTTAGAGACGGCAAAAAACCAATCAGCGCACCCCATTTAGTAACAAGACGGCGTGCCATAATAATTATAATAATACAGAGTATTAGACTCTCCAAACACTGCTATGCTTGTGGTGGTCATAGCCACAAACCACTAACGCTAAATTCAGTTTTCCAATAATAAACCATGTTTATCTGACTTCCTCATCGTTGTATATATCCTAGAAAAGAAATGTGGACCAATAATGTGGATTCGCTCTCCCCAGGCCCGCGCCAAGTGGTTCATCGCACTTACCTTGGCTCGCAATCCACAACTTGCAGCTGAACGAAAACGTGCGAAGACAATGTGTGTCACAGATAGCGACGTCAGAATCGATGTTGGTAATGATGGCCCAGATAATACAGGGCTTATTCAAGATAAGTAAACAATGTTTAAGTTGCATGTGTCTTTAGGTTTTTTATTAGCTAGTTGTACTACGTTTGAAAACGAACCGTGCATGACAAAAAATTTTCATCGCACTCCTTTTCGAATGTGAAAAGAAGGGTGTTTTGACGATATCAGGCCTTGTTGCGGTTAATGAAGAAATGTAGTGTTAAAATAACAAATATAGTGTTCCAGTACCTGGTAAAGCTTTCGAGTTGATTTTTGCTCGCAATGTTTCTACGTTATTGTACCCTCGTGACACATTCATGTGGCACGTTTTGCGCATCAGGAAAAATTAAGAAAATAGCTACAATTTGGGCGATTTTATGGGAAGTTATTAAAGTTTCGAACAATTTCGTTCATGCGCAAGCCAACGCGCAAAGTGAAAAGATTCGGTATTTTAACATTATACTGCATGGTAAACACCCTTCACAGCTGATTGGTAGCGACTATACCCATTGTCTTCGCTTGATACGAAATGTTCTTCAGCATTGGGGTGATAGACCACGCCCAGTGCTGAAAGATACGGAAGTAGCTACTTCTGTAGGTGAATATTTCTTCCAGTTATTTCCAACACTCCCGCTGGTTGTTCATCAGCTGATTAGAGATGACCCCGACTGGAAAGCACGCCCAGCCTTGAGGGAGTTTTTCCCTGTGGTAAACCGTCGCATGGCATCTGATTCGGACGATTAAACATGGTATATCATGACATGTAATATACTTCTCGTTGGTATTATACAGTCCTGGTGCAGTTAACGCGATCATGTATTGTATCATTTCGTTTTGTTAGAATATGGTTATAGCTTTTCTTAGCACTAGTTTGCAAACTTGCAGTTTTTACTAGGATTTTCGCTTTTGATTGATATGAGAACGAATGGTTTAAAAGTCTTGAAGAAAGAAGATCTACATTATGGCTTTTCTTAGGACTAGTCCAACCGTCTGTTTAGACGGGAAACTTAGACGGGAAAGTTCGGACGAGAAACCCGTCTGTGACCGGATTCACATAAGACGAGTTTCCCGTCTTCTATGAGTTTCTCGTCTAAGACCAGCCTCATGACGTTGCATTCAGGTATTATATAGAGGTCAGCTGAAAAAGCAAGGGTGCTTTGGGGCGGTGTTTTTTCCAGCCGACCTCTATACAATAACTGAATGCAACATTTTTTCTACGGTTAAAGCGCCTGGGTACGAGGCTGGTCTAAGACAAGTTTCCCGTCTCTAATATGAATTAGCCTATTAGGAATCCAATAGGAAATACGTCGATTACAAACGGCGATGACATCATCTATCTAAAATATAGTGAAGTTGTTTTATAATTCCATGTTCATGCAGTAAGTCATAAATATAAGGCAAATTTAATCCTTGAGGTCAGGTTAGGATTAGATTTAGGATTACCGTTAACCCTTAACAATTTGCATTCCATACCATAATTTGCATGCGGGTTGGTTCTGTTAATGATTGCGGTGCCCGCGCCAAGTTTGGCACCGCATTAAATTCTGCCTGTGAGTTTGTTTGTTCGCATCAATACGTTTCCTTAATCGCCTAGTAAAAATTCCTTGCACATGCTTGGAATACTTGAATTTTTTCCTAATTATTACTGTTAATCTTGTTGTACGTTTGCTTTGCCAAATTCCTTTTTTAAGGAACGTTCTTTTTTCAATTTCAATCTCAAACTCTGATAATTGCGTGTATTTCTGCTTTTATGCACCCAAGAAGGACAAAAATACCACCATTCGATTCAGCGTAAGAAATTATACTTACTGGTCTTAAATATATTACTAAACAAGAGTATTCGCAGCGATTTATGACGTTTGAAAGACAAACGAAATTGAATTGTTGACAAATCGCTCAAAATTACTATGCTATACTTTACTAGTAATAGTAAGTTTGGTCTTTGATATCTTTCATATCGTTGGTTTTCTCTTTTAATTTTCGTCCTTAAATAAGTGGATCGGTCTTACATTACGATTTATTTATAGTACTTTGAGCCAAATATATTCTATTTCGAAGGTTTTAAAGCATAGTTTCAATAAGCGAACTTTATGACAAATCGCTCAAAATTATTAAACAAAATAAAAATTCAGTACGCTTAATCCTTGACTTCTGTATCGTTGCTTTTCTAGTTTCCGGCTCTACACCAGTTTATTCGTCTCACGTTTCTCTTCATTTTGATAGTATTTTTAGATAGTATTTTTAGCCTAAATATTTTATTTCTGAAGATTTTAAAACGGCACAATTTTGACCTTAATGTACCAACCAACCAGGCTGCGGCCGACAGGAGAATGTAAGTTGGTGATGTCGTTAGAAATGAGCGGACGTTTTATTTCTAGGCGAGCATTGCGGGCACCGCATTTTAGTACTGTGTCTGGTTTGATGTGTTTTTCGCCCTATATGACAGTCTACAATAACGGAAGCACAAACCTCAAACTTATGTTATAAACAAGAATATTGGTGAGCATAGTTTGGCCTTATCTGGAAAGTCAAAAGCCTGTCCCTATAAAGGCTATAATCGGATAATCCCCAGCCCCCATCTTTTTAGATTTCTAGGAAATGGGCCGAAATAACTGTATAGCTGCAACATTTCAAGTCATTTATCCATCCCGGCGTGAAGCGATATAAGCATCATGAATTTGCCTTGTTACATTTCAAAATATGTATCTTAATTATGCATCTTTAGCAAAAGTGCATGCGTTATTATTTCAAATGCAAATATATAGGTTTTTTCCACCTGCAAGAAGATATGAATTATATAATCGAGTGGCAAAGGCATATTAGGTTCGGCACATGAATAGTGCGACGTCTGAAACGGGCCTAAGTGAATTCTTGACGTTCCAGACAAAAGGTAGGCTAATGTGAGGCTCGGTGCTATTTCGTTGTAGTAATGTAGTTGTCGTGTCATTTTTACTGATGAGAAATAGTCCAAACTCCGGATGGATCCCGAATGGCTTTAGTGGCCAGTCACAAGAGCATTGTTTACAATAATCAGCCGAATATGAATTCAGCTGAAAGCCGAATTCATATTATACCGGTTTTCTACTAGAGATTTTTCGCGCGAAGCGACTTTATTGTTTTAAGGTCGACACAGGCCGGACGCGATGCGGCAACGCGACGCGAATTTTCAGTTTTCAGAAGCAC